GTCAGAACACATCAAGATTGTTTTTTTTTTATTTTTATTTTTTAAGTTTTCTCCTTTAAAAGGAACTCCAGCTATGAGGACGTGCATGTCCTAATAAGCCACAAAATTTCTGTTGTACCAAAATATGTTGTTAGAAACACACAAAATATAGCCATTTATTTATAAATCTATAATATTTAGTATATTTTTTGACATACGTAGGACGCCATGTTTTCCGCACGCAATGTACTCTGGGGGTGATGACATATATTGGTTGCTCTTATAAGAATAGCTATTGACGCTAGTGTTTGTTTACGTGCTCACCGTATTAATAATGAAGTAAAATGCCGCATTGTGCTTCTTTTGGATGTAATTTCCAGTCACAGGGCAACAAGGGGAGTGATGTGAGTTTACAGCTCTCCCACTGGCAAGAAGAGGAGAAAGCAGTGGGAAGATGCCTGTGGACGGACACAACTTCCCAAAGATCCGCGGCTGTGCTCCCAACATTTTTCTCCTGATGCGTTTGAGGCTTATAGTCGACCACAACTACTTTAAAGAGCTCACCAGAGCGGCTGGCTATAAGAGAAGGCGGAAACTAAATGCTTTACCGACCATTTTCCCACACAAGGAAGCCTAAATGCCCTCGGAGAGACGAGTGACGCTGGACGTTCTCCTGAGCCGACAACCCGCTCCTGCAGCTGCCGCTTCTGTCACGTTCAGCGAACCATCGGACACGCCATTCGTCATGGATGAGGCTGAATGTTCACCTCTCCCGTCATTAAAATAAGCAGTAAGTGTAGCAACACAGTATTCTCCAAAAATAAAATATCTGCAAAAATTATTAGTTGTTTCACTGAATATCCTAATCATCTATAAAACACTAGACAGCTCTGGATGCTAATATTCTCCTAAACCATTCATAATTGAATAGTTTTGATCACACGATAGCTTACCGTTAACTTCTGCTGACAAAAATGTAAGCGCTCTCCCTCTTGATTACCATGGAGATGCATTTGCTGCACACGCACCACCGGTTTTGTCTTGCACTTGCTTCATCCCGCACTTCTCGCTCTTCATGTTGATGCTCGTTTTGTGAAACATGGTCAGTGATGTCCTCATTAAAGGAACTTTACGGAGTTTTGAATTTTTATGCTTGCGATTGCCCCCTTAGGCCAAAAGCGTAACAGCAGCTTCAATAGTAGGCTCGTGCACGAGGCGCACATGCTGTACGTGCACACTCCTTAACGAAAATAACAGCTGAGACAGTCAGCTCCGTGTGTGTGTGTGTGTGGGTGTGGCCCGGAGGACAGAGGACAGGAGAACGCGCAGCTAATTAATTAATTTGGTTCTGTACCTTTCTCTTCAGCACAGCCGACAAAGGTTTAAGATGGGTCAGTCCTCCTGCATGCTCTTGAAAAATTGTTCCAAAATGAAAGTTGAACCCACATCTTTTTTATCTGTGAATTCAATGCAGTTCGGCGAGTCTCAAATAAAAATTTGGGCATCTTACTGTAAAAAAAAATACCATTGATGTAAAAAAGAAACTCTAAATAAACTACGTTCACATCCAGAATCGAACCCGGGTCTTCTGCACGAAAGTCTAACGTCTTACTAGGCGAGCTAACACGCCAGTGACATCACTTGTATCTGTACCATTTAAGAACGGTTCGGAGGGCTATGCCTGAGCGTGAACGCGCATGAAGCAGCCTGCTTGACCCGAGCAACTCTCTTTCTGTGATTTTACAGAAAAATAGGGAATCACAGTAAAAATGCCAGGGCTCATTTTACAGGACCAGGGCATTGCAGGAGAATGTATTAAGAAGAAATTTATTATTTCTATACATGTTTAGGCTGTCAAACTCCCATAATGCCCCTCTAATGTTTCACTCTGGTTCATATTGAAAAAGCTGAACAGATGACATGTTGATGTTGCTGAACAGTCACTACAGGGTCCCAAAGCTGGCCGGTGCAACTGAGGTACAACCATGTGATGTCGCTACCCAGAGTACATTGCAACGCTAACAACAATGGCGACCTATGAGTTAAACTATTTTGACAAATATTATAAAATGAAGACATTAAGAAGTTTTTTTTTTTTACACCATTTTAATATAACTGATACTAACATTTATCTTTTAAGAATGACAGCGTTTTGTTACCTGGGTTCCTTTTTAAAGCTGCATTATGATCAAAAGCAGATTAGAAAGGTCTGGGCTCAGGCTCACACTCCTCTGGTGTTAGAAGATCTCTTGAAAAAACTCCATTTCAAATTTGTAAGAATTGTGCCGAACCATTAAAATCCTCGCGGTTACAGAGTTTAGACCTGACTGGGAGTCAAATAGGGTGGTGATTAATTTGGGGCTAAAATCTAAGCATATATAAAAAGAAATCTTATTTTTCAGATTGATTTATTGATATTTTGATGCTAGGCCCATTTTTTGTAAATCCCTAAGCTAATCTGATAATCTGTTTTATTGTTTTTTTAGGGTTGAACACACCTGGAATGTGTGTGTTTGTAATAAAAAGAACTTACGTTTGACCACATCTGACTTATGTGGTACTTTTGGTTTCCTTTTATGTAACCAAAAGGCGGGTGGGCTATGATGTTTTTGTCGGTATTCATTTGTTTTTAGTGTTAGCCAAATTGTTCAAAAATCAATGGACACATTTTAATGAAACTCACAGAAATTTTTTATTGGATGATCGTTTACAGCTCATTAACTTCTGGAGTCAATCCTGTTGCAGATGGCCGCCACATCAGCATTAGCTAACAAACGAATGGTTAAATTAGATTTGTCTTAAATTGCAATACATCCATATCAACTATCATTATAGGATATTTGTTTCCATATCACTTAGCCTTGTTGAGCAGTTTTATCATTTGTTATTTACCATATGGAATAAGAACCAATCAAAGGCTTGGACACATCCATTTATTATTCATGCAATTTATTTTTCCGGTGATGTGGCCTGAGCCCCGTTTAAAGCTTTTCTCCGTTTGCAGCAGCAGTGGTTCTGGTTTCTGACTGGAATAGAAGACTTGTGTTTAGCTTAAGTCTTCTCGGTGGAATGAGACGATTCCACACTGCCTGTGCATCATCACTATGTGGACCAAAGGTCACCAGCCTTTCAGCCGTGCCATTCTTTTTCTGCTGTGTTTGGTGTCACAGACAGGCACTGATTGTTGGAGCGGATTATCACCGTTTTACAAACAGCCTCATCAGGACAGAAACGAGGTGCTTCAAGCGGCACGCTCGTCTGTTTTCTCTGCCCTGATGTTAGATGGAGGTGATAAAGCAACTGGCCTGCTGGTGTGGTCAGCTGTGGTTAGGATAGAGGGGAGGGGATTGACTTTAACATTAACTAAGGTGGAGAGATTGATTGCTGGTTGTTCTATCAGCTAATAAACTCTGTTAAAAGTTAATTGGCTAAAGTTGATGAAAATTCAACATTTCATTCACTGAATTCCAAATGGATGGGTGATGTTTTTATGTAAAAGTTCCTCAGAAGAAACAGTGATACGAATTTAGCGTAGTCCTAGTTTTCCATGTATTCAACATGTGAGAAAAGAACCTGAAGGTGTGTGGTCAGAGAAATGGGGCGAGTTAAATCATTATAAGACACAACTGGGTTCTGCTCATGCAGTGGTCAGTTTCATTCTAAACATTTAAAATAACCCAGTAAGATCAGCTTGGTGCCTTCATCATGAGATCCGGTTGGGTTGGCTGTAGCTGGTACCGTCCTGTCCCACAAGTCCTTATCTCTGCTGTAATATAAACCTGTACATGTGATCGGATACAAATTTCATTTTCCAAACTACAGAATGAGTCATGGACTTTTATTGCTCCCCATGAAATAAACTAAAATGCAGAAATGCGTGAGAACAACGAAGGCCAGTAAACTCATGAAATTGCTTAATAATGCAGTACATAAAACGGTGAAGCAGTTATTACTTTATTTAATAGTAGGGATGTCCTAATGCAACCCTTTTCACTTCCGATACGATACTGATATTGCAGCCTTCAGTATTGACCGATGCCGATATCAATCCGATATGATATCAGCACAAATCATGCAGACTTTTACCTGTTTCATAGTGCGGAACGTATGAAAGGCTTGATCAAGTGACATTACTCAAACAAAACAAAAGCCAGTACCAGTAAGTATAAAAAAACTGACCAATTTTTTATTAACCTTTGGTTGCATAAATGTGAATAGCTGAGGTTAGCTAAGGAAAGAAAACACAATATTGTTCACTGACCAACTGCTAAAAGTTGAGTGTCTAAAGTTTCAATTTCACACACTGAGAAAATCCTCCTGTAATGTTTTGTGATCCTGCCTCAAACGCACGATGAGGTTGGACGTATTAATCTTCCCCAGTTCTGTTCCACCACGGGAAACTTGTGCATGACAAGTGTTGCACTGAGCCCAACTGTCTTTTTCAGACTTTAATGATCAATACAGCCACATGGCCGACATCGTTCCTTGCTGCTTTGCTAGCACACACTGTTCTGATCATGTGGACTTGGCATGCTGGATCTGGGCGCTGATGGATGGAATTGTTGGGATTGAATTTAAAGCGGAACGTACTGCTAATATCGGAGATTATTGATGCAGTCCGATATAATCCGATAGTGTTTTTAGGCCGATATCTGATATCAATATCGGAACAGGACATCACTACTGTTACCAGTAATGCACATGTTTGGTTTCAGCAAATCAGGTTCAGAGCAGGATTGATTTGTGTGTGTGAATCTTTTATTATGAAGCCTGTTAAAGTGACTCTAGGACACATTCCTTCTCACACTTGTCACAGCGGACGTATTTGATCAACATCCATTCCTAAATCTAACTTGTTTGTTCCCTTCTGCCCCCCCATCCCGCTTCATTGGTGACACAGACTTCTCCCTGAGGAGCCAAGAAGCAGACGGCTCATGACTTCAGACCAGGACACGAAAGTTGTAGCTGAACCACAGGTGCAGCAAGTACAAGAGGCAAAAGAGAATTCTCATTTGGTGAGTTTTACATGCAGTCACATTTTTGACCGAGAAGCAAAAATTGTGCAAACAAACCGAGCTACTTTCCATTCTTCCAGCCTCTTTCCGATAAGTGAATCTTGAGCAGCAACCCTAAGCCTGACATTTGTGAGGCTTGATGAGGAGCAGAAATGACAGGCTTTTTGTGAGATTATTAGATATTTTTAATAGACTGACTGTAACTGATCATTTAATGGAGAATATCTCCGTACAGAATCAAAAGGCTCTGGTAACTAAATAACTCTGACCTGTTTTCATGAGCCCGTAGCCCTGCATTTCATCGTAGGTGTGACATTTTGAAGGGTGTGTGCAAAGTGTGAAACAAAATGTTGAGTTAGGGTTGATTTTCTTTTTGATTCAAGCTGCAGCTTTAGGTGAACATTTAAGGGTGTGAGGCAAAAACAAATAAAACAAAAGTGTTTGGTGTGTTTGGCAGCTTGTCGTTACAGTTGAGGAGTTTATTTAATGATCACACTGCTGACCTAGACTTGAGCAAACTTAATTGTTAGTTTTAATTGAAATTCAGTGGTTTAGTTTTTTGCGCTCCTCTTTTTATTTGGTCGGGTCTGAGATGCAGGCTGCATAGCACAGAAGTTTGGAGCACTGTAACCTCGCTGCGAGTAGGTTGCAGGTTCAAAACCCAGCTGGATGGAGTTATGTTCTCCCCATGCATGTGTGGGTTTTCTCTGCCTTCCTCCAACAGACTAAAACATTCAATCAACAGTTAATAGAAGAGTCTAAAATGTCCCAAGGTGTTGTTTTGCTTTGATGAACCGGAGACTTGTCCAGGGTGTCCCCCACCTCTCACCAATAGGGCTGCAACGACAAATATCAACAATAGAAATGGTCGACAATGAACTTCATTGTCGACGTTGTCGCCAGACGTGTTTCTTCCAACCGAGTGAGGCATCTCACTTCATTACAATCTCTGCCGAGTCGCACATGTGCAATAGCTTCTCTGCTGAGCACCAAACAAACAGAAATGGCGGCGTCCAACACAGCAGCTACGCGTACCAAAACATCAAAAGTTTGGGTGCATTCTAGCCCGGATTCAGCGAATAAAAAGATGACCTGCATTATTTGCAAAGCAGTCCTCGCGTGTCACGGCAGCACCTCGGTGATGCATGAACACTTAAAGAGAAAGCACGTCGGACAGTTGAATGAAACAGAGTCTGACTCACCTCTGTAAGATTTAAGTAACACGAAAGCCAATACGTTTTGTTATGGATGGACATTGTACATTTTTTAAACGTATTTTCGCTTAAAAAAAAAAGATTTAATGTTATGCCTGACTGTGCCTGACAAATGTATTTTAATTTTATTAATGCATTTATGTCTATGCTGACTGAGCACTGTGCCTAATTGGTGTTAGAAAGGGCATTTTTATTTACTTATAGTATGAATTGGCCTATCAGCAGCAAAGTTCAATAAAATAAGCATTTTCCGCTGAAGTACCCATCTTTCTTGTGTTTATTATCATTTTTCACATAATTAAAGCAATCTCTTGCTAAATTTAAGAAATATTTAATAATTTTCTGATTAGTTTAATCGTTTCAATAGTCGACTATTAAAATAGTCGTTAGTTGCAGCCCTACTCACCAATGATAACTGGAGAAAGACCTCGGCATGTGAAAGTGTGTGTGAATGGGTGAATCCTAGCTAGTTACTAGAAATCCATTTATGTCTACTAGACTTAACTATGAACTAAAATAGAATAGATTAGTTGCTTTAAACTGGCCCCACAATTAACTAAACAACAAACAGAAATGTCTAAATGCAGCTCGAGACACACTCAAACAGCCTAAACCTACGATGTGGTAACAGTTTGTAAAATGATTGTTGATTATGATTACTCCAAACGGGTCTCGGTGGTAGAGTTCTAGTTGCTTAAGCTTCTGTTGATAAATAAGTCCAAATTACATTTATTGATCTGCTATTGCATCCTCTCAGATATCCAGCATAATAAACGTCCTCAGCTCTGATCTGTCTGCTGGGTGTGTCTGAAATAATTGAAGCTCTATTTGGTGGCTACTCAGACATCACGTAATACCCGCCAAGTGTTTTTTTATCCTGGTGGCTAAAAGCTCTGGTTTGTTGTTTTGGAGACAATTCTTGGAAAGTGTCACGTCTGAACCTGAGTTTCCTCTGAGCAGACCGTTTTATCACCTGGAATAAACATGCTGCTGCAGTCATCAGTCATTTCTTCACTTTGTCCCCAGATGTGGGGAAAATTGGTTTTATACCGTTACAGATCTGGGTTAGAAAACGGTAAGACTCAGACGTGTTGAACAGTTCTGTCTGTTTAATGGTTGGAGCTGGTGTTCAGCGCTGTTTTCCTGATTTACACAGGAAAACTCATCATATGCATCCAAAATTATAATGATGAACATGCACAAGTAGCACCACCACAGTTTCCTTTTTTGTTTTTTAGATGAAAATGATCTACAGGAGAAGTGATTGCTAATTTGTTTATGTTTATTTATTTGGCAGACGCTTTTATCCAAAGCGACGTACAATTAATTTAACTTGTAGGGCATGTTGTGATCTGTGGGGGAAACCGGAGTACCCGGAGGAAACCCACGCATGCATGGGGAGAACATGCAACTCCACGCAGAAAGGCCACAGCCGAGTTTCGAACCTGCAACCTTCTTGCTGCGAGGCAACAGTGCTAACAACTGCGCCACCATGCATGCAATGCATGCAATTTAACTTAAGATGGTGTAAGTTCTGTTTACCTGAGTCTAATCCCAGGAGAAAATATGGCATGTAGAGATAAGACACGCAGTGACTGTGCCAAATATCTGAACTCGCTGAAGCAAACAAACATCCCGGGGTTGAAGACGTCCCGCATGGGGAGGCACTATTCATTTTAAGGTGATTATGACGATATGTTTTCCTTTTAGACCTCCTGTGCGCTTAATTCTCCTGCCTGTTTTCCCAAACGTGTCTTCATGTCGGCTGAACAGCCTGTGTAGCTTATGTTTCTACAGAGCTGCTGCACAGGCTTGCAGGTTTGAGTGATGCCAACATATGGTAGATGTTGAAAGATCATGCAGGCTAAATGTGGTCACAAGGGTGGGAACTTACACCAACATGCTGCCAAAAACAGGTGAATTACGTCTGTAGCAGGAGATGATTTGGCTTTAAGCAGTTTGTTGGTATCTGAGAAAGAGGCACAGTGGTGTGGGGTGAGAGAGAGCTGATGCAGGTTTCATTCGTCCTGTGTGTGTGTGTGTGTGTGTGTGTGTGATCTGAGGTGGGAGTCGTTGTTGTTGGTCTGTTGTACTTTATGTATTGATTTCAGTGCATTTTGATCTTTTGTGTGTATTGTAGGGTTATCACGGTGTGAAAATATAACCTCACGGTTATTGTGACCAAAAGTATCACGGTTTTCGATATTATCGCGGTATTTCTTTTAATGTGCTACATTTTCAGACAAACTAAATAAACCCTGTATATCAGGAAAATATTGTCCTCAGTTTGTGTCTGAATTTAGCCTAAAATGTGTTATTTTGTAATTATGTTTATTTGTTTACATTTTTCCCCTTTAGTCTTTAAAATACCAATATTTGCCCATAACTTCTTATTTTTTGTCTGTTTGATGTCATCATTTTAGAAATATTAGATCAGGTGATACTCAGTACTCAAGTAGCCTTCTAATCAGATACTTTTTTTTACCCTTACTTGAGTAATAAACCTTATATCAGGAAAATATTGTCCTCGGTTTGTGTCCTTCCAGTGAGCTTTGCAGATGTGGGAAAATGTCATCAGGCAGTAATCATTGTTAAATTCATAATTATTCTCGGAGAGAGACCAACTCTTATCTGCCCCTGGGAGCCCCGTAATGCATAGCGTGATTTCAACATGGGGGTGTCCGTGACACGGTTTATATGCAGGTAGCGGCGCTGCGGCTGCTTTATATAGCAACTCGTTGCATTCTCCCTCAACCTAAGTCCTCGGATCACACATTTTAGCTAAAACGCTAATGTTAGCTTGCCTTGCGTTGACTGTAGAGTTGTGGGTGATGGTCACGCAGATGTGTCATGAGATTTGAAGCATTGCTGCCTTTCACAGACACTTTTTCTGCACGTGCTGCAAACAGGATAGCCGTCTTCTATCAACTGTCCCTCTGCATTCTTCAAATATCCAAAAAATGCCCGTACTTCTGACTTTGTCTTCTTTGAGGGATAATAAATGTCCTGAGCTCTGCTGTCTCCTCCTTTGGCCATTATTTCAGCTTTAGCTTCAAGAAAGTTTTGGTTGTAAATGTGCCACTGGCAACTTCAGCAGGTGATATGGTGGCTGGTAAGGGTCACCGCGTCTTCACCGCAGCCACGGTAAACCCACCGAGATAATATAGTTTTTTTTAAAACAAGACGGTTATTATTATTGTCAACTTTTTTACCGGGGTTTACTGCTACACCGGTTACCGTGACAACCCTAGATGGTTTCTGTACAATATAATTTTCTCTAACCAAAACATAGTGATTTTTGAGTTTCGTGAAACTTTAGTATTATTGTCTGTGATGAAAATGAATGAAACTTTATGATGATGAAACTTAAGGATTTGAATGGAGACTGCTGGCACAATGTTGTGTCCCTGAGTTTCAATCAGCCACTTCAAAAAGGAAAGAATGTGGAGCAAAGGAAATGGGTAAAAAGTAAGTGGAAGGCCTTCAGGCAAAGATAGTTTGTTTACCTGAGAACTCCAGAATTAGTAAAGGAACAGAATCTGCTTTTTTCTCTTTATTGTCCTACACACATGCTCAAGATTGGAAAATAGATAGGGAGTGGAAATAGAGGAGAAAAGCTGAGTACTGGTGGAGTCCAGTGGACTAACACTCCAGGCTGTAGGTCTCATTACGATCTGCTGGTGGTGGGAAAAGCAGTCTGACAACCGGAACACTGCTTCTCTGGTTTAACGCGTTAAGGTTCAGATTTAAAGAGTCATACGTAGGGAAATCTCTCTGCTCAGTTAAGTTTTCAGTGTGTTATTAAATACCCAAACATAGAACGTTTACATTTTATTATATTTAGACTAAATATTATATTTTTACTAACGATGCTTCTTGGCTTTTTCTTACCGATATCTAATATTGTCTAACTCATAATTTACGATACACATATAAACAGATATTGATATATGGGGAGTCTCCTTTGTAAAAAAAATAAATAAATAAAAAATAGGTTGCCAACATTACATATCTCCTATCACGAATGCTTAAGCTTTTTATTATTATTTTTTTCGTTTCCTGTCCGGTTGTGCAGCCATCTGCACTGATGTCTGAATGCTGAAGACAAGCCTTACAATTTTTCTCTCTCAGGCGTGGCGTTATAGCTTCTGCTATAACGCCACGCCTGATCCCAAATTTTATTAGAAATATTGTCTGTGGTTTTAAATCGCAACGGACATGGAGACAGAAGCAAAAGAGAAAGGAAGGGGTGAGTGGGAGAGTTAAAATAAACAACTAATAAATGATGAACAAGAATCTGCTTCTAGACCTGCAGAAAGAGAGAGAGAGAGAGAGAGAGAGAAAGGTGCACACACAAATATACAACAAGACCAAAATATCACTGCACCCACAACATGAGGATATATAACAGTAACAATTTTTACTGAAATGCACACGGTAAAAGCTCATAGTGCATTTAGTGCGAACCGCAGCCTTAGGTCATGTGTTTCAGATGCCCAGAATTCCATACTAGTAAGAGCACCATGTGAGCACCTGTAGGTCACATCTCTCGTAGGTCATGGCAGATACAAGCAGCTGAAATGAGTTTTCTACCTTAGAGATGGGGTGAGAAGCTCAGTCATTCAGGAGGGGCTCGGAGTAGACCTGCTGCTCCTCCACGTTGAGGAGCCAGGTGAGGTAGCTTTGACATCTCATTAGGATTCCTCCTAGAAGCCTCCCTGGTGAGGTTTTCTGGGCATGTCCAACCAGGAGGAGATCTAAAGGCAGACCCGGGACACGTTGGAGGGACTATGTCTCTTGCTTGGCCAGGGAATGCCTTGGGATTCCCCCAGAAAAGCCAGCCCAATTGGCTGGGGAGAGGAAAGTCTGAGCCTCTCGACATAGGCTGTTGCCTCCGTGACTCAACTCCGGATAAGCGGAAGAAAATTCGTGGATGATAGGTATATTAGGTTTAGAAAATGGATCAAAGTGAGACATCACATTTACAATCTTTGTTATACTGTCTGTGTGAAATGTAACAGTGAATGCTCTCAACTCAGACCTATCGCTGATGTAGTTTCTGTTTCCTCCACTCCCGGTGTTTACATCTTAGATTTAGGCTACAACAAAAGAATAAACGGATTATAATCGCACTGATATTGCTGTACATGTTCATAACTTCGACATCAATTGTCTTATCAATGTGTTCAGGGAATGTTTGGGTGTGTGTTAAAGTTGGTTGATAAAATGAAAGCTACGTGATCGTACACATGCTAAGTGAGGCTAATTGCGCAAAGCTAAGACATGTGTAAGCATCAGTAATGTATATTTTCTGTGTCTGTATATTGTAAGGTTGTCACTGTGTGAAAATTTAACCTCACGGTTATTGTGACCAAAATTATCACAGTTTTCGGTATTATCGCAGGATTTTTTTAAACGTGTTACATTTTCAGACAACTAAATAAACCCTGTATATCAGGAAAATGTTTTCCTCAGTTTGTGTCTAAATTTTGCCTAAAATGTGTTATTTTGTAATTATGTTGTTTATTTGTTTACATTTTTCCCTTTAGTCTTTAAAATACCAATATTTGCCCATAACTTCTTATTTTTTGTCTGTTTGTCATCATTTTAAAAATATTAGATCAGATGATACTCAGTACTCAAGTAGACTTCTAATCAGATACATTTTTTACCCTTACTTGAGTAATAAACCCTATATCAGGAAAATATTGTCCTCGGGTTTGTGTCCTTCCAGTGAGCTTTGCAGATTTGGGAAAATGTCATCAGGCAGTAATCATTGTTAAATTCATAATTATTCTCGGAGAGAGACCAACTCTTATCTGTCCCTGGGAGCCCCGTTATGCATAGCGCCATTTCAACATGGGGGTGTCCGCGACACGTTTTATATGCAGGTAGCGGCGCTGCGGCTGCTTTATATAGCGACTCGTTGCATTCTCCCTCAACCCAAATCCTCGGATCACACATTTTAGCTAAAACGCTAACGTTAGCTTGCCTTGTTTTTACTGTAGAGTTGTGGGTGATGGTCACACAGATGTGTCATGAGATTTGAAGCGTTGCTGCCTTTCACAGACACTTTTTCTGCACGTGCTGCAAACAGGATAGCCGTCTTCTATCAACTGTCCCTCGGCATTCTTCAAATATCCAAAAAAGGCCCACACTTCCCACTTTGTCTTCTTTGAGGGATAATAAATGTCCTGAGCTCTGCTGTCTACTCCTTTGGCCATTATTTCAGCTTTAGCTTCAAGGAAGTTTTGGTTGTAAACAACAAAGTGCGCATGTGCCACTGGCAACTTCTGCAGATGATACGGTGGCTGATAAGGGTCACCGCGCCTACACCGCAGCCACGGTAAACCCACCGAGATAATATTTTTTTTAAAAAACAAGACGGTTATTATTGTCAACTTTTTTACCGGGGTTTCCCGCTACACCGGTTACCGTGACGACCCTATTATATTGTAGTCACAGTGATAAAACACTTAAAAATATCTTCATATAAGAACAGCAAGCCTTGGGTGAAGATTTTTGTGCTTGTTTTAGCTGGTTGCTAGCTGCTAATTACACATAGCTACACACTCTTAGGGTTAAATCCTTTTTATATAGGGGGAAATTCATACTCATTCACAAGTTGCACCAAATAAAACTATCCATCCATCCATTTTCAGCTGCTTTTCTGGGTTCGGG